TGTGTGTGTGTGGGTGCCGGCGCGCCTCTTATGAGCACAGGGCAGCAGCTTTTTTCCTTCCGAGAACGTACAGGCGAACCCAAACCGGCCAGCACTCGACGGAAACAACTCCCGATCGTTAGACCGCATCGCCAGAAGAGCACCCCAAACCAGTCCCCATGAGAATTTCCGGCCAGTCTGCCGCCGCTCCCCATCGCAGAGGAAGCGTTCGAGAGATCGCACTTGCAGAGGCCGAAAGAGTGACAGAATAATGAACCGACAACATGCAATCATGTTCCACTTTCTGAGCAATTTCCGACACTTCAAAGGGCGTGAGGTGATGCTGGTGGGCTGTGTGTGGCCCAATCCCGTGCTCTGCGCAGACCCGCCTGCCACTGTCTGAAGGCCTGGATGCAGGATATTGTGCGCGCTGCTGCGCAGTGCTTGCTGGTCCTGCATCTCCAGCTGTGCCAAAACGGCCAGCTGCCTCGGGGTGAGTGACGGGAAATTGGCCTGGGTGTACTCCGTTGGGTCTCTTGGCGGAGTTGCCTGTGGTTGTGTGATCGGAGTCTGCGGCATCATTGGCATCATGGCGGGTTGCTGGACTGGTCTGTTGCTGCATTGTGTGGATGGGCTGCAACGTTGGGATGTGAAGCGCGGTGGGCGCTGGGTCGGCCAGTGGAGATGCCAATGGCATGATTGGCATGGGGAAATGCTGCTGGACGGCGGTCGGTGCCGGTGCTTGCTGGGCAATGATCGAGTTGAATTGCGGGGTGGTTGGCTGCGCCAATTGCTGCACATGTAGCGGATGGGGATTCCCCATGCGCGTGAAGAAGCTTTCTTGAGGTCCCGCGGACCTCAAAGCCGTCAGAGCTTGACTCTGGAGCGTGTTTGGCCCAGTGGCCGCTGCCGCCGCAAGCAAAGTGGTCAAAGGATCCATCTGTTGGATCAGGTTGCAGGTAAACAGGCCGGAGGTACGTCACTGAACACTGCTGTTCAATTGAGCTTCAGGGTGTAATCAACAAGCAGATGCCCTTTACGTTCGTTAGCACTCATGTCAGATGCAAATGACGCACTGCCAAGA